GAGAAAACTGGCAAAAAGAGGCTCTTTTGACCTACATTTCCTCTCCGGCGGACCTAACGACACACCCGAGGGGAAAAGTAGTGAAAGAGGCTCTTTTGGCGAAGTTTTTGCGTACAGTTGGCAACAAGTCATTGCTAGTAATGGAGATTATCTTTAGATTGACCTTGTTTAATTTCGTTTTTATAATAAAAATTTTTTACACACTCAAACGCGCGCATTCCTTTCCGAACACCTATACCATAGTGTATTGATCCAAGATCAGGCTCGCATATGACTGTATAGTAGCTAGTAAGATGGGGAAGCTATCCTATACTACAGGAGCGCTGTTATAGTGAGTGCACGAAGATCATCCCAAACCACGACTGCGTTACCATCCGTAAACCGTGGACCGTAATCCTAGAGCGTTTACTCGCTAAGGCCGCGTTCATACAGACGGCATCCGCGGCATCCGTGGCTCCTCCGCGCCAGGCGCGAAGCGTATGCGTCGCGGCCTCTTGATGGGGACGCTCGAACGCAATCAATACCTGACGTCTTTGCTGCTGCTGTTTACTTATATTTTTTCAGGTATTGGTATGGTTCTTCCCCGATTTTGCACTCCTGCCAGATATTCACTTTACTTTTGTCACATTGTGTTTGCTTTGTTTGTTCTGCCATCCTCCAGGTCTACAAACCTTTCCTTTCGACGGTTTCTGCAAACGTCAGTATTGCGAATATGAACACGGCCTAAAAGACATCAAAAAAGGTCGAACTTACTTTTATATCGTTTTTGGAACTGCCTATTGGAGGCAGGATACAGCATCGTGATGTGAGAAATGGTGATATCAGTACGACTCCCCAGAACTTTGTTGTTGTTGTTTGTTGAGTTGAGTTGAACACGAACGAACATGACCCCTCCCGGTGTAATTTCACCCACAGTAGGCGCGATCGCGCCCTAAAGCGAAACAGTTGGTGAAATGAACTGGTACCGAAGCTTTAGTAATGCTCGGTGCGCCGTGTGTTTTGTGACACGATGTTTCGGATAACGAGAAGTCGAATATTAACTGGGATGTCGTGGTGTTTTTTTTCTTTCTGGCTTTTTTCTTCACTGACAACTTAACTGTCACATATGTACTCATTTGTTTCTTGACCACAATACCCACAATCCGCATCCGCGGACTGCGTCTTTGGAGGCAGAGCCTGCGCTCAAGGGCATTCGTGGTTCTTGCCTCGTGGCAAGTAGTGAGAAGCAGACTCAGAAAATTATAGACCGAATTTCGCGTCTCCATGGTGAGTCAGGAGAGTGTTACAGCCGTAGAAGATCCTACTCCTGACACCCACTCAGTTTGACCGCCTACTTAAGAATGTCCCTTTCACACATACCGTGCAATTCAGTTGTTGTTTTTGATGGATCGGCTGGATTTTATCTTAAATTGCGTGTCCTTTTTTGCTGATCACGCACTTGCTCATGGATCGTTCTTCTCTCCTTAGGAACTTCGTTCCATTAATAGCCAAAAGCAAACCATCTGAAGAGGTAGGACGCGCTCAATTCACTAATGACGTGATTGCATTGGGTGCAATAGTTCGTCGATAGTGCTTTCCCAAATCCCAATTTTGCACAAGAGACATTCAAAAGCTTTTCTGTCCTTTTCAATTCAAAATCGTGTTTTTTTTGTTGTTTTTTATCGATAAATAGAATGGATGTAGAAGACACGCGATCGGTAGCGTCAAGATGTCGGTTTCTTGCCATGAAATGAATAGGTCGTTGGAACTCGTACAGTGAGGTGCAGAGGGGCCCCTTATGCAGAGCGTTCTCGATAGTTAATTTGTCGTTTTTATTTCCTGGAAAGTAACTTAGCCATTATAGGTTCGTTACAGAGGGGCACACCCACAACATTTTTTGTCTTTAAAGGTTTCCCTCTGCCACACTACTTCGCCTCTGTTCCAAGTTTTGAGAACAACGGAATATTCGATATGCGTCAGGATCTCGAATGTTTTGAAGATGCCCGACGCCAGTTTTTTTTAACGTTGCATCAATAATCTTGTCTTCGCCATTTGTGCCCTTGCATGATATGAATGAGCGAAAGACAGCCGACTATACGCCCAAGCGGTGTCGCTCTGTCGAGAGGGGGGGGGGGGTATTGATGGTTGAAAGGTGTGTGGTGGGCGTTCGCCAACGCCTAAAGCGCTCACATTCGAAGAATATGGAGCGAAATTCAATAAGCGTCACGCGAAAAAGCGGCTTGTTATTTGGATAGATTGATTTTGACCGTTTCACTCCGTTCTTTCGCGCATTTTCCCCAGCTATACAGCGCCCTACACGAGGCTTTTTAGGCAGCTCATGCAAAGCAGCACTGCTTTAACGAAATGCTTTAACGAACGAAACGAAACGAAACCAAATTGAAGGTTGAAAATGGCCGCCTCAACTGTATCATCATGCTGAAGCGAGACTGGGTATATGCGAACAAATTATATTAGGTTGGCGGGGAAGTTCTGACATTTTTTCAAATTGGGCTTCCTTTATAGAGAGGCGTGTAAGATCAAAATTGTACAGCAATGTTACTGCGGGGTCCTTGCCTGTTTTTGAGCACCTCATGGATGCCATCGCTTCACAATGCAGGGAGGCGCGATACAAAGTTGGACATCATCTCAATCTTGGCTTGAACTCAGACTTTTCGAGGTTTTCTCGTAATTTCTCGTCCAGTAATGATTGATTACGGGAGGCAACTCGCAGTTAGAAGGAGCAATGTCTGTGCTACACCACTGCAAGGGGAGAGCCATCCAGCTCTATTGCATGAGGAACGGCTAGAACTTTTTTGGAAGTGCGCTGCACTATCAGAAGCATTTGGAGGGGTCGGTGGCGATGGTAGCGGATAACATTCTTGTCCATATTGCAGAAGAAGAAGAAATGCACCGTTGACCCCTCTTCAGGTAATTGGGCAAATATTCTGAGTTCGAAAAAATGACAGAAATTCCCGCCAACCTAATAGAATAACAGAAAACCAGTTACGGTTTTTACTCAGTGAAAAACCTTACCGTATGGGATCGTTGTTTCCCTCCTTCCGTTTTATGTGTTCGTAAAGTTTGTGATCAGCTTGCAGATATAGCGAACGCGTCCTCACTGACAAGGGAACCCCAACAGGTCGATCCGGCCATTTGCAATGAGATGTACACATGTGGACGTGTCTTGAGCCGCTGAATCCAAATCTGCCCTCCGTTTTTGCGGAACGATTCTCTGAACGGAGTTACTTTTTTGCTTCCTGCGCAAACGTGGCAAAATTTGGTTTTGCTT